TACATTTTTTTAATTATGTATAATCATAATCATAATTATAAAACCCAGGTTGTGTGTGTGTGTCTGTACATTTATATATTGGATCGGATTTCCTACATTTTTCAACTGATTTCAACAAAACTTCACAGGACTACGTAAAATTGCCTTGCGGTTTTTCTGATGGTGCCAAAAATTGGAAAAACACAATTGTTTTTGCACAAAATCAATTTGAAAACACGATTAAGAGGCATCACTTTCGCAGAATGAAAGGGGGACAACTCATATCGAGTTATACTTATTATAAAACCCAGGTTGTTTGTGTGTGTGTGTGTTCCTTTATATATGGGACTTACATTTTTCAACCGATTTCAACAAAACTTCACTTTTTTTTTGGCAGGTATTGTTTCTTATTGTCTTGCACACTTTTTTCTTTATTTTTACATTCAGAATGCTTTAAAAATTCCATTTACAAGGCAATTGTTTATAATAAAATTCTATTCAATCGGTAGACTCATAACGATTGAAAACAATGTTTTTGTTTGAATTTGGGTTTGACCAATTCGTAAAAAGAAACAAAACAAAAAAAAAAAACTAATTAAGACATGCATGTTCGTCAACCTTAAACAATAATCTTTGTCAATTTTATTTTTCAGTCTTTATGATGGTCGATACTTGATCTATCTCTTACTGTTACATCCCCGGGCAATGCTGGGCTCTACTGCTAGTTATATAATAATATTAAGCAGAAATGAATTGAGAAAAGTTAGAGAGACAAAAGGGTGGTGTAAATAGAAGAATACTTTAGAGAAATGAAAATGCTAGGTAAAAGGGAAACTATATATAGAGAGGAGCTAAGGATGGAGATGAACAAGCATGTAGAAAAACAAACTTGCTGGCTGGTTATAAAAAATAACAGAGAAAGATCAAAAGTCATGTTGAGATTGAAAAGCATAAGACTGTGATAAATTTAAAATTTGTTATAAAGTGAAAGAAAAAAATAAAGAGCATGCAGTAGAAAATATTTGTGAATAGCTGTTTAGCACATAAAACTAATCAATGTTTGTATAATATTTAGATAAGAGGTTGGAAGGGACAAGGGAGAGAATGAGAAGATACAGGCAAAGGTGGAGGGAGAAGAGCAGAGGCATTAGAGAATTGATTATCTTAGTTGTCAGTACCCTAGGAAATTTTATGAATCCGGTTGGTAATAATAGATAAAAATAACTATGATTCAACATTAAATAATATTCTGACACAAAAATTCTATATCATACTTTCTTTATTTCTTTCTGTCTTCTGAGTGACTAGGGTGACAAAATAAGCATTCAAGTTTCTAGGTTTTATAAAGAATTGACATTGACTTCTAATCCTTTTGAGGAATACATAACAATCATGAAGCAAGTGCTATCAACTGTATTATTAAATTCCTTTGGAGATTCATAATAAATAACATTATTTGTCCCTTCCATATATATAAAGGCATTAGATATATTTTCTTGAAATAGATAATTCTATAAATCTGAGAATTAATTTGATTTTGTTCTTGCAAAATGATTATTTAATTTGTGACACATAGAAATTGATTTTTAAAACTGTGAAGTTTTTGTCAATTGAGGTCTGGGGCAGTATTTGCCAGGTAATTCAACCTCCAAAATACTTAAAGCAACATTTTTTTATTTTAGACTTTCGATTTCGAATCTTTATAATAAAACAATTTATTTTTGCTTCTTTTCATACTGAAAACATTGATGCAATCACCATGAAAGATATTGATCTTTTAGAAATTTTTCTTTTGTTCTAAAAGTTACTATTAAAATATCCTTTGTGCTAAGAGCAAACGAAAATTGAAAATAAAAATTCCAAATTGTAGTCTAGCAAAATAGCCAAAGGCCATAAAATTGTTTATACGTATGTTCACTTAAAAACATTGCAATTCTTTTGCTGCCAGCAATATAAACACTTGTTCATGGGATTTGTTTGTCTACAGGGTAAGCATTTTTAGTTTTAAAGGGACAGAGCTTTTTGAAACTTTCTACATTTCAGTGTGGATGTGTGGTGGTATAATTTTTAACAGATCTGAAGGAGAAATCAGAGAGCTTAGTTCAAATTCCAGGTATATTCATTTATGTGGAAGTCCCCTTGAGAAAGCTATCACTTCTACCCCCAGCCATAAGTAAATAGCAGGATACTCGGCCATATTGCATTGGTTGGCAACCAGTCTAGGAGAGGGGAAAACTCTGAATTCAAACCAACCTGGAGAGGTGGCAGACCATCCTTCCCAAGACACATTGCTGCTGCTATGACTGCAGTGTACATAGCGCCTCTATCACCCTAACAGTTTATGGGATTTGTGATATTAAAGTAGATATCCAAATAATAATATATTATTTTATTAAAAAGAAAATTACAGAATGTCTCTTAAAAGATCACTAATCGTTATTTTATAAAGTATCCCTGCTATTCAGAAGTTAAGATGTGAAATGGCTTCTATGAAGAAAAACAAGATAGAATCAGCAAATTGACAGCAGTCATCATTATATTCATTGTGAACTCCACAATCTTTCATTAACTGCATTGTATATACTTTGAAAGTGCAACGTATAGTTTTGGAATTCAGTGTTATCTTCTTAGACTGGTTGCCAACCTAGGCTGAAAAGACTGGTCTGATGTACTATTTAACCCATAACTGGTGGAAGAAAGATTGATTCATACCTATCCCAAGTGTATCTTCATGTAAGTGAATGTAATGGACATGATTAGAATTTGAACTCAGCTCTCCAATTTCTCATTCTGTGCTGCTATCTTTTACATCACTCACAGTGATAGAAAACAAAGTTCTATATGATGCAAGGATTTTAAGGTATATGTGCAATGTTGACTAAGACACAGGAAACACTGGATAACTTGACAGTTGAACTGATTGAATAGTAGTAAGTTTTGAATTCAGAATTTTCCTTCTCTTACACTGGTTGCTTCACTGATTGCTTATTCTGCTATTAACACCTAGCTGGGGGAAGAAGAGTTGGAGTCATATTTTTCCAAAGATATTCTGCAAAAGCAAATACAGTAGCTTTGACCAGAATTTGAACTCAGCATACCAATTCCACTTTCCATGCCATCAACTGCTATTCTCTGTACACATTCAGACTGATTAGTCTGTTTATATAACTGAACAGTAGGTTTTATCTTGTTTATATACACTGCGTGCCAAATTATTATCGAGAACTTTTTCTAATATTTCAAAAACCATCCAATCAATTCTCACAAAATTTTCACACAATGTTGGCAACACTGAGCTGCGCCGTCACTGAAATTTTCATACTGATCTGTGCAATGTAAACAAACTGCTTAAAATGGTTGAGAAACACTGTAATGGTAACAGTTATTAGCACAGAAAGTGGTATTGGTGAGGGGTAATTCAAATTTTGATCTGGCCTATTCTGTTTAGCTTTAACGCCTTTGTAAAAGGCATGAATCCATTTCTTCTCCCTCCTGGTTATGCTTTAAATAGCAATGTGGACTGGGATCTCTAACCTTGGTGAGTGACAGCCAGAAAGTGATAAAAAAGGGAACTTTTGAGAGCTGTGATCATCTCTGTCCTGAAGGGTTATGGGATTAAAAACACTATTCTCTCTAGCTTACTTGCAAAGACAGTAGTAGTTAAAAGTTGGTACTCTCATTCTTTTTCTATGTTCTGTTTGCCTTCAGGACTTTGGCAATAAGAGCACTCCACAACTTTCTATATTAGCTTTTAGTAAGGTTTTTCTTTTCCCCATCCATCTCTCTCCCTGTTTTGTTGTTCATTTACACAAGCTCATTAGGCAGGTTACTCACTATTTCTCTTTGTCCCTCTTGCCTTTAATATGCCCTGTATGTGTCAAATTCTCCAAGCCCTCTTTTTTCTTTTGTGTCACATTCACTTTCCTCATAGTTAGTCTTAACATGAACCAGAAAAATTAGCAAAATTTCACACACTTTCTTTGTTGTTTAATAGTGATTACATTTTTGGTATTGTTGGAAATTGAATTTTAGATGAATTGTTATTAATATTCAATGAATTTGTTTTTAAGATTTTTATTTGTTGTTTAATTTTCAAACCATTGTTTGTTTGCATTGCATTGTGGGATGTTGAAATTATAACTAGTTAAAACATTGTGGTAAAAACAGGAAAATCAATAATAATCATCAAGAACAAAAAATTGATTAAATTTAACCTGTAGGTATGTTTTTCACAGTTACACTCATCTTTTATCCAAGACTAGCAGCATGGCCTGGTGTTGCCCGTGCTTGATGCAAAAATCGTACGACTCATACAACAACCGCTATCACTTGACTTAAAATATTTTTGCCCTTCCTTGCCTTCAAAGGAGTGCCCTTTGCCGTGCTGAACAAAATGAACACAAAACGATCAGCTTTAAAAAAGGACTCGTAACTGGAAAAACTGAATGAAAAAAGAATGTTAACAACAAATACTTTTTCACACCCAACCCAGTTCTGCGGAATCAGAATCAACGTTGAGTTTAAGCAAGCGAATGAGTCAATTGGAGTAAAGTGCCATGCAGATTTAAATTTTTCCCACTTGTGACGAATGCAGCTAGCATGCTAGTTGACATTTGTGTCAGTCAGCATTTGGCTCTCATGCTGGCCAATAGAATCTTCCTGCCTATTCATGGCAGCCAGCTATAAGCTTTCACTCTGGCCAGTAGAAAATGGCCGTAAACTACATGAAAACTGCCATAGAAGCATGAAAAAATCGATTATTTCCACTATCAATGGTAGTTGGGAAATGCAAAGTCAGTCTTGGCCTTCCCACTAACTTGGAGCATGTGCATGTAAATTTTGGTGTAAATCCATCGAAAATTGCGGCTGTGCATTCGTTACACACACACACACACACATCCTGCTTTTATAGATAGAGATAAGGTTTTTGAAGTTGAATTTAAATCACCATTTTGAAAGAATTAGTTTCATAGTATATATTAGTTGGACCAGATGCTTCATAGAGTATTTCTGTATTGCAGGCCAAAATTGTCCATGTTGAGATTGATGGACGGGTCATTTCTCCTACAGATGGCTACTTATTGCGAAAAGGCTTAGGAAACTGTCATTTTGACTTCTGCCAAGAGATCTCATTTATGCCGACTGACCACATGTCTCCACGCCACAAGAATCTCAACTCTGCAAGGTAAGTCCTACTTCAATATATCACTGATTGATTTGATTGGAAACAGTCAATAATGTATAACATGAAGGTAAGTTATATCAATTCTCTAGAAAATAATTAAATTCTCAGTTTTTTTTTTCTTTTTTCCCATACTGCTGTGGTGAAAAGGAACATCTTATTTTAATTCCTACTCATCAATAAAATAAATATTTACCTGTCAACACTAAAAGTAAGGCTGAAGGTACATAGAAAAATTGCAATTAGGATTGAGACAATGTAACCAGGCATAGGTGATTATAAATTAAGGGAAAAAGAAAAAGTCATCAACCCTTGTGGAATGAAGTGAAAATACTTGATAGGGAGCAACACTGGAAAGTTAAACGTCTGAAAGAATCAATGCATATGCTAGGTTATAAGGCCCTCCATCGTCAGCTTAGCATCAAAATAAATACAATATGGGTGCCGTCAATAAGGAAAAACAAATGACAGCAAAGCTTCAGCAGCAGCTGTGATAAAGAGTGAACGCTCTGGGTGCTGTCAAGTGTGAAGTAACAGCAGCACTCACCAGTAGGCAGGTTAGATTTAAGGCTTCAAGTTCTTCACTCAAATCAACAATAGCCCAGTGGATTAAAGTGTTGCTTTGTGAATTTGATGATGGCGTAATTGTGAGTTCAATCCCTGGGCTGGGCAGTGTAGTTGGATACAGTGGATATGGTATGAGCAATAACTGAGCAGTACTAAATAAGAATTAGACAATATACCCTGAACAATGGAAAGGGTTCAGTTGAAAATTCCAGATTAACATCAACCTGATGAAGGCTGGAAAGTACAACAGCCAAAATGTGATAACAACAACAAAGATGAAGATAATCGTCTGCATGTAAATAAAGTAAATAAGTTTTTCTTAAGTTGACAGTTTTTTAATTGGATTGGCCAAAAAGTTTCTTTGTTTTACTAAATAAAAACAAAAGATAAATTTTTGCTTTTCAGCATTGACTTTATTGTACAATGTATCTACGAGGAGGCACTGTGGAGTAATGGATAGCGGTTTGGATTGAGGAGTCTGAGAGCCAAGTTCGAATTCCAGTCGAATCCATTACATTCACTTACGTGCTAATACCCTTGGGAAAGGTGTGAATCCTCTTCTTCTCCCTCCAGATATGGGTAAATAGCAGGACAGACTGGGTTCTATAGTCTTGGATGGCAACTGGTCTAGGAGAAGGAAAACTCTGATTCAAAACCACTATAATCAAATCTCATGTGCTATACATGCGGGTTAGGGACCGCTTGTGAATTCCAAATTGCCATGAAACTCCAATATTGGGGCCGGCTCAACCCACCTCGGCTGAATGCTGTTACAAGAAGAAGAATGTATCTACTAATTAAAAAAAAACTTGTAGTTCCAACAGAGCAGTTTTTTACTCAAATTAAGGAGTGACCAAGACTGGCAACTGCTAGTTGAAATATTTCTATAAAAATAAATCATTCATTGGAACTACAAGTTTTTTTCTTTTAATTATGCAACTACCAACGGAGACAAGCATCCTAACTTTAATATATCTACTATTTTGTTTCACTATATTCTACATGTGTTCAGCCAACATCATAATTTTATTCTCCCAAAGCAACCTTTTTTCCTTTCTCTGTAAAAAATGACTTCAGATTCCTTTTGCAGACTTTTGGCAAATGGAAATGTTTTTTTACATTTAGAAAATTCTGTAAGGACACAAATAAATGGTAATTTTTCTGCTGAATGCAGCTGCTGAGCGGGAAATTTGTAAACTGTAACAATCTTTGCATGGTCACCAACCTTATCTAGCATTCTCTGTATGAAATGTTATACTCTTTCTAGCTGCATTTCCATGATTGATTTAATTGGGAACAGCTGATAAACTATATTAAGAACTTATAGAAATATTAGAAAAACTAGATCTACACTGAAAGGATACACAAATAATCCACAATGTGTATTGGAATAAACTTGTTGAATTAAACAAATAGACCAAAATAGAAAAGTGAACAACAAGGATCTCTTTTCTTACTGGATTATTTAATTTGTACAGCAAGATGATTTCAAGAGAATTAGTGGCTGTGATGGAATTTATTATCAGTGAATGCAATCTTAACAATATAGACAATGCAGATGACTGTGTTGATGTCTAATTTAGAATGAAAACAGAAATAATGCTTAGACAAAGTAGTCAAGGAAAGCAAGAAGAATAAACTATTAATTTTAAGAAGACTACTTGGTGATAAGCAAAGGGGACACCCCAAAATATAAGTTATGCATTGGGGACATCAAAATTAGACAAGTTTGGAAATTCAACTATCTTTGGCAGGGTAATAAGAGAGGGCACAATGTGATAAAATTTTAAATACACATATTAACAGAAGAAATACTTTTCAGAAACTGAATGAGGTCCTAAGCAATTGAAAAAAAAATCATTAGAAATAAAGAACCTTAGCCTATTATGTAATGTCTACCCTACATGGCAGGCGAGAATTTTGTCACAAATAAAAAAAAATAAAAATAAAAAAGAAGGCTTATTACAACTGAGATGAAGTTCTGCAGATAAATGTTGATAATACCATCTTGTAAGCATTGAGGAATATCTAAAAAGAGGAACTGCAAAGAACCTGTTGTTAACAATCAACTGAAATTTTGAGGACACACATGAGGAAAGAAGGTTTACAGAATTTAATATGCACAGTAAGCATCGAAGGAAAACAACGAGTAAGCTACATGTTGAGTTTGTACAAACAGAGGAACACATAGAAATGTAGAGTTCTAAAGCAAAAGACAGGAAGCAGTGAGACATATTTGTCCACATTAATTGAGATGCATGCTAGAATCAATTGTTTAGTTTTCCCATTCAGAAATATCTAAACTATCAACTGTATACAAGACTAAGACCAGTGGGTAAAAATGGCTTTGAGTGAGTGAAGTCCTGGGGAAGACCATCCTTCTGGACTGGTTCCACAGAATCATAAACAACTGTACCAAATAACAGAAACTACATCACTTGAGGATTATCAACAGCAGCAGCAGCTGCAAGTAAAATGTATATCACATATAACTAAAAGAGAAAATAATAACATAATCAAGATGTAACATTCCACACTACTTCAAATAAAAGGTTGGGAAAGAAACCCCCATCAGTACTAGAAAGAGCGATAATAGCTACTGGACTTGGGAAACTTATTTTCCTGAAAAATCATTTTGAAAGAAAAATTTTATAAATTTCAACTGAAAGCAGTACTAGCTAGTTGGTCACTAAATGCCAAATGTTTCCCTGTAGGGAAACGGTTAATATTACCATTACATATTCAAAATCTTGAGTTGCTTTAAAAAATTGTATTGCAAATTTTATTTATTATTTGCATGGAATTAAGAACTGGACTCTCTTGGTCAGAGCCCTAAGTTTTAACCATTGGAATGACATTTAAAAGAAGGTTATAAAAAAAAAAAAAAACTGATAGAAAATACATATTCTATTGGCATTGTTTGTTTTTTTACTTATACTGTTTATTTTTCCGCAGTACAAGATTGTTTTCTGCACAATTTCTATTCTTCATTGAGAACATATCTGACTTTTCTTTTGTTAGATATTCATGTTTCATGTTTTTTTTTCCCAAAGAAATATACTCAAATGTAAAGATAAAGAAAATTGCAAGGGGTGGTTTCATTTTGTAGGATTTACTTCAAAACAGATAAATTGCAAAACAAATTTTTTTTGCATATAATATAGATGATATTTGTTTATCTCTGAATATTTTCAGAAGGTTAAGTGATTGTCAGTCTATTTGTCACAAACCTGTCACAAAACTGCAGCTGCCTCCAAGAAAATGCCACTTGATCCAATCACTCTCAAACTGATCTTCAAGGTCGACAAGCCTTACAAATCAGTTTGGCCATTTTTGTCTTTGGCACAATGGAATAATATGCTCAAAAGACAACAGATTCATTTGCAACCACCTGATAAGCATCTCTAAAAAATCCTGTCAGAAAGTAAATTCTAAACAGTTCTACTTTGTTTTAGAATAATAGCTATAAAATAAATAACCAAAGTAGTTAGCAATAATGTATATATTCTTCTTCTATATGCCATGTCCTTTCAGGACATATGTAATTATGGCTCTCCACAATTTCCTGTTCTCTGTATAGTTTGTCATTTAGTTATATCTCCTAATTTTTGTTTTGTCAACCATTTACGAGGTAGGTAAAAAGCTTTACTCTGTCCCTCTTGACTTCAATATGTCCTGTGAGTGTCATATTTTCCAAGCCCACTTTCCTCATTATTCTTTCTTTCTGATGCTATGTATAAGTGTTCTTTTTGTTTCTATTTTCTTTAAATCTTCATTGTTCATATGTTCAGCCCATGGAATGCTCAGCATCTGTAGTAAAATTAGGTCCAAACAATAGGAAGGGAACGGGTTGGCCTGGCACCGCCTACTTCCGGAAGAAACAACTCCTCAGCTTCAAGACAGGTTGCTCAAAACAATCTAGCTACAAAACTCCACAGATCTTTGCACTCAATTATTCCAACACCGCCTCGTAGTTTGCTACACACAACTCTGTCGAGTGGTCTCCCGCCGTCACATTTATGCCAGCGAACACCAACCAATTTGCATACTGCCAAGTTCACCTCTCGCCAATTCTCGCGGCTACAAGATCGTGTTTCCCATAAGTCCGACTCACCATAATGGTGGTGTTTCTTTGATGAGATAGTCCTGCCATATAGGAGTACTGATATTACATAACAATTCAGTACTCTTTTCTTTGTTTCCAATGAAATTTTACTGTTTCTTAATACTTTACTGAATATCTTCCACTATCTCAATGCACCTTTGGATTTCAGTGTTGCATTTTTGATCACAACTTCTCTAAAAATTGATTTTCAAAGTTAACCTGCTTTACAAATCAGTTTGGCCATTTTTGTTTTTGGTACAATAGAATGTTACACCCCCAAAATAATATATTCCTTGGGGATCAGCTAACAAGTATTTCTAAGAAATTCTAT